AAAGACCTTAATCAATCATCGATTCAAAGAAACTAAACTTGTTAAGCAGAAAAGCGACTGACTTAAAATAAGGATGACGTAAAGCATCTTCAGCCGAAATCCTTTTAGAAGGATCATAAGTTAACAACGCATTCATCAAATCGATACCTAATTCAGTTAAATACTTAAACTTAGATCTAAGTGTTGAATAATTAGGTAAATGGATCAAATTTAAACTTTTAAAATTCGGTAACTTCACCACTTCAGGCCAATTATCTTGATGAGGTTTACCCAATAAACTAAAGATTTGATTTAATTGATCGATTTCACCTTTACCAGGAAAGATCGGATCACGTAAGATCAATTCAGCAAAGATACAACCAATCGACCAAAGATCAATAGATGGATGATAATCATCTAAACCTAATAAAAGTTCAGGTGATCGGTACCAAAGTGTGACGACTAATCTCGTTAGGTTTCCCATCGATGGATCTCCATACATTCTGGCTAATCCGAAATCCGCTAGTTTGATCTCGCCTCGATTGTTCATCAAGATATTTGAGGTTTTGATGTCTCGATGGATTATCCAATTCGAATGACAACAAGCTGTGGCTGATAATAATTGAATCATAATCGTTTTGATTTCAGATGATAAGAATGGAGTTCTCATCGTCGTTAAAAGTGTCTTTAAATCATGTTCAATAAAATCCATCACAATAAATATCCTATCATCCCCAAAACCCCCCCCAAAAAAAATACTCAATCAAGTTCAATTTTAATTTGGAAAATGAATGACAAAAGATCACTGACTGGGTTAAGGTATCACCCACTACGATTTCTCTAACATTTACAATGTTTTGATGTTGAACCATCATCAAGGTATGAATCTCTCTTAAAGAAGTGATCGGAAACCCATTTTTTTCTTGATCCATCTTGATCTTCTTTAATGCTACAATCTCATTTGATTCTTTATCTCTTGCTCTAAAGACTACTCCATATGATCCTTCTTCAATATGATTTAATCTGTCAATTTTGAAAAAAGTTAGAATCAGGTTTCCAATTTCATCTATCAAGTTTTTTGATGAAGATGATGGTTAGGTTCAAGTTACCTTTCGTAACAGTAAACTGATCTACATCCTTGGATTGTAGGATGAGAATGGCGTAACTGAAGAGATCGAGTCGGACGACCAGAAACCCCATTCATTTTCCCAGAACCGACCGAACCCAACAAACCTTCCCCCTGCTGGACCATCTCATTCCTACTGGTGTTAGATGAACCAGAACAAACCGAGTTTGAGTTCAAAGCCGAACGAGTTTGTTTAAGTTTGTTTGAAATATTCAAATCAGAAAAAGCAGCTTGACGTGATCTTTTAGAAGGTCTAGCTTTGATATCTTCATCCTTTGATACTGTTTCTTCTTCTGATCCTCGTGGTGAATCATCCCATTTTGATCTACGTAAGTTGGAAACAGAAGAGACTATGAATGTGTGTAAAGTGTGAACTGATTTTTTTGGACGAGCTGGGATTCATACGTATTTATTCGTGGTTGTATTTGAAGTAAAGAGAAAATGGAATCGAAATGGAAGAGTGGATTAGAAGTGCTTGACTGACCGTTTGAAGACATTTTGGTGTCGAATGGGTTCGGATTGGATGGAAGTTGTTGTTGTTGTTGTTGCGATGAAAAACCAATTGAGGCATTCCAACTTCAACTTTAAGTACTTAACCTTAAGCATTTAATCTTAAGTACTTAACCTGAACACTTCACGGTCCACCCCAAACTGTTCTCAATCTTCAATCGATCAATCCAACACAACAACCAAATCCAACGCAAGAATGGCTACCTCACAAGTTTCTTCAAAATTCAATCAATTCCTAAACCATCCAGCAGGTCATTATTCTCTTCATAACTTCATTTCCCATCCCAAAAAAGAAAAGAAAACTAAACCTTTGTTTTTTGATTTTGAAAAATGGAAATTTTAAAAGGTCCAAAGTTGAGTCTTTCAAAAAAAAACATATCACGTTTTCTTTTCCAAAACCTTTTAAATCGACTTGGCACACTAACACATTTCTTTTTCTGGTTTTTTGTGATTTTTTTTTGGGGAATGATTTTATATAGAACGATTTTCTTTTGGGCTCCAATGTTTAAATGGGGATTAGTGATTGCAGGTATCAAAGATTTAAGTAGACCGGTTGAAAAATTATCTCTTTCTCAAAACATTGGTAAACCAAAAAAACAATTTCTTTTTCCTTGAGAAAATCTAAATTAGAAACACTTGATTTCAAACCTTTTGGTTTTTGAATTTTTATGAAATTTTTAAAACCGAAAGAGGTTTTCTAAAAGAAAGAACTGATTGAGCTTTTTTTTGTTTTTTGTAGCTTTGGCTGCTACTGGTTTGATTTGGGTCAGATACTCTTTCGTAGTACGTTAATTTTTGCCTTCCAAACAAAAAAATACATTCCCTCCAGAATTTCCACATTTCGATTTTGTTTTCATAAACTGATCTTACATTTTTTGGGGGGGTTCAAATCTTAGATCACACCTGTGAATTATTCATTAGCAAGTGTGAATTGTTTTGTGGGAGCAACTGGTTTGACTCAACTTTATCGAATTTGGGAGTAAGTCATTCATCTGAGTCTTTTTAGATTGGTTGAGGTTTCTTTATTGATTGGTTTGGTTTTTTGGTTTTTAGTTATCGTAAAGGACTTGAAAAGACTTCAGAAACATTAAAGTGATAAAACTTAAAGTTGTCATGCAAGATAGATACAATATATATACATATCGATTTTTTTTAGAATATGATTTCAAAGTACATCTGTGAGAATGAAAATATATACTAAAAAGTGACTGAAAGTGATGAGGTTGTGAGGATTGATTGATCTGTAGCTCAAACTTCTTATGGTGCCAGTGATTTGGCTAATGGAAAATTGTCATTACCCTTTTGGATGATCTGATCAAATAGAAGTGGTAGAAATTATGCTGTGAAAGCACCAACCTGAGTTGTCATGCATTTTCTTATTCTGCATCCTGCACACTGACTCACCTAAGTGCTCCACCTTAGCTTGGCGCTCGACTCTGGTTTCCTTTTTGAGCTTCTCGAGTTTTGTAGACTAAAGACTGTTGATGGAAGGCTGTACTCTCCTTTAGATAGGTTAGAAAACTTTCACTCTACCTGCTCACAAGATCAACACACTAAGATTAAAAATTGGCTTTCTTGACCTTATTTATGATGGATGTCATGTTTCAAGCTGTTTCAAAACTATTGTTTGACATAGTAATGTGACCAGATGATTGTCTTGGGCTCGAGCTCATTGGAAAATCCCTCAAGATGTTATGCTTCATTACGTGCACCATGTAGAGGGTCAACTAGTTCTTGCCAAAAACACAAATTCAAAGAGAAGGAAGAAAACAACAAATTGTAGAATTCTGAGGTGAGCAGCGCGCGCCTTGTGTGTGTTGAACAACATGTCAGGGCTGAAATCAAGTATGTAAACCTTGCAGCTTTCAAAAAGATTCTATCACCTGAATCAGAATCAATACGGATCATGAATTGAAGCAAACCATTAATATGGATCATACTCTTCAGGATCATCCTCATAATACCCATCATACTCTTCCGGTTCATCATCATCATTCTCATCATCCCCAGACATAGAGTCATCCGATTCACTTTGATCCTCATCTGAAGAAGCCACTAGATCAAACATCCCACCATTACCAACATGATCCTTTGCATCAGCATCAAAAACTTTCCCACAAAAATACATTTCAATACCATGTTCTTGACACACGGTCTGTAAAGATTTAAAGTCAGTTTGAGAAAGAAAAGTTTGTTGATAACCTGGTAATTCAAACTTTTTCATTTTAGGCCAAAGTTGATCTTTGATTAGATCTTCAAAATCTTGACGACTATGAAACGGATCACCTATTGAAATCCATTTAAGGCTTTTTGAAGGTCGAAAGGATCTTGCGAATTGGATGGGTAAATAGTGTGAAATCTCTAACTTGATCAGTTTGGGTAATTCAAAACAAAATTCATCATTTTCAATAGCTTCCCGAATTGGACTTGGATTCAGCTTTCCATAAGCAAAATTGTCTAGGTTATTGCATGTAAGTATTCTTAAGGTTGAAAGAAAATGTTGGATAAGTTTATGTAAGGCTGGTACTGAGACTCGATTACAATGTACCAATGATAACAACTTCAATGAACTTTTCCAATCAAGTTGACCCCAACTTAAGTCCACACATTCAGCCCTTTGCAACTCTAATCCAGTAAGGCTAGTAAGCGAAGCAAGATGAATCCCAAGGGGAGATTGACAGGCCTGTTGGTCGTCCAAAGCTCTCGGATGTGTAGCATCAATCCCGGTACAACTGATATATTTGAGTTGAGGAAAGTTGGCGAGAAGTTTGACGACAAATACTTCGGTGTAGCGTGGTCCCAGATAAGCAGATGACAGTGAAAGATGAGTAATTGATTTCAGTCGAGTGATGGGTTCGATAAGTAGGTTTGGCATTTGATTGTCTGATGAGCTTGAAGAGTCTTCATTTTTTTTTGAGTATGATATTGCAGAACTTTCAGTTGGGATGAAAGCTCTTGGATCAAGATCTATATCAAGATCGATGAGGTGAGGACAACATTCTAGGATTCTGAGTAATAGTTCGGATCGTGACCTGAGATCCCACTGTGGACTCCGAGATGGATTTCGACGACGTCTAGCCGCACGCAACCGTTCTTTACGCTCCTCTAAAACTGAGTTATGGTCTAAGACTCTCCACCTAATTCTTTTGACATCCTCTGAATACCTTTTGATGATTTCTTCAAGCGTGAACGTCAATTTATCCACCGTTAAACCTTCGAGATCTAAGGCCTAGAATGGTGATCAAGATCATTTCATCGATTACTAAATCATGAGAATACAATTGGATGATGGAGATAAAAACAATTACCTGAAAACGATAAGGAGAGAGCATTTGATAAAATGAACGGTTCACCAAGGCAAGTGAACAAATCTTTTTCAAGGGAAGACCTGTTCAGAATGGTATAGTGTCAGCAAAGTATATAATCATGTATAGGTGTGATATTTGGCACAGATGAAGAAAAGCTAATGATTGTGCCATTCGGTGTGAATGAAGATGCATAGAGTGGCAAGATTGAAAGGCATATTGACTTACTGTGGGTCGAATTTTGGAACTTTTGAATGCCTTGGTGGTCAAGATCATGATCCTCCCTACTGTTGTGAATGTTGTAAAGTACCAATTCTATTATTTCGATGGGCATAGACGACAAGCCCCCTTGAACGCGACTGTGTGAAGGCGGAGTTGACATTGAAGTGATGGAGTTTGAAGGTTTCGATGATTGCATAGAATGATTGGATTCGCTCTTGATCATATTTTTTCTTGGTCGTAAGTTGTACACCATTCTTAAGGCCTTGAATGAAATTGTATTACCGATGCTTTCCTGAGCTTTCCTGTCTAGCTTGACCTAATCACACAAGCCTTGAATTTATATCAAGTCAGCCGACGTTGGATCTTCAGCCTGACTAGGCCGTATACGGTACAGTGTCGACTCTGCGTGACTGACCCCCTTGGGCAACTGCGTTTGGAAAAAGGCGAGCGTGGGAGGGGCAGAGGCTTTGTCAGTGGCATTTCCCCGCGATCTGATCTATCACAATTAGGAAGACTGTGATATAGGCCACTTACTGAGCCTTGACCGGGCAGGATAAAGACGTTGTTTGTTGAAGAAGTTAGTGTTCAATGGACCAATCAAAAGCAAAACGGAAGACAGGGAAATTGATAAGGACAAGTGGAGAGCACCGTTTCAGAGGGAGATCTTAATCGATGAAAGAAGACTAGAGCGTAATTGCTGTCAGGATTCACGCGACATTGAACCCCAACTAAAGAATCTTAGCGTGGACTCGATTATCATACTTACAGATTGCTATGCTTATCGTATCAGCGCCCCCCCTTGTCTTTGGAAAGAGAGCGTCTCTTATGTTCTCATATTTCTCTTTGTTCTTTGAATGTGTATGACTAAAAGCGTTGGGGCATATCGTTTCCAGCTGGACTTCAATCATATATACATAGACCAGAGACCATAGCTCGAGTCATCTTTTTTCCTTATAGGTACTCTTCCTGTTGATAAAACAATGAAGCTTATGAGACATAAGAAGGCAAGATCTGATTTCATGGGTTCACAGTCTTGCAATCAAAGTTTATGATGGGGTTTGGCAAGGCACATGTCGCCAGTCATTCTGCAGGTCATGGGACTTCATGTCCTCAAAACCCATACTATTGTTGACTTACACCGCGGGAATTAACTCGTTTGAAACCCGATTGAGCGGAATTTCGGTGTCCGGGTTTGAAATTTCCTCAAATCAAGAAACTTGTTCACAACTCGTTAGCATTACGTTCGCCGATTTCCCTTGAGTACACTACTACATACACATACACAGCACTTTCAAAACCTCCAATTCCAACCGTCCAAGTATCTCACCCCTTATCATGTCCCCACCCAACTCCTTTCTTTTTTTTTGGTTGATCAAGGCTTGACAAATGAAGGTGAAGGTGAGGAATGGTGAAAGGTTGTTGTTGTATCATGTGACTGTACATACAGGTCAGCATGAGCCCCGTTTCCCGCGG